TTTGATTAACTTAAAAATGATTTATCAATATTGTCTTTGACTATGAAAAAAGGTTATCATTATTTTTGGAATTTTCTGCTGAAGTAGTACAAAAGGACAGCACTAGACATTTAAAGCATTTTTAAATAGCAGAGAGGACAGAAAAATGTAAAATATCTTGAGGTGAGAGACAAAGTAAAAGTAATTATGCTAGGTTCATCCTCATTATTCCACAAGCTGTGTGGTATTTTATAAGAACATATTTTACATATCAAAACTGAAAATGAGTCTGAAAGGTGGAAATCTGAATAATTATTTTTTAGTTTTAAATCAGTATTTTCTCTCATCTTGTCAAAGAAAATTTACGACTTTGACATTTGAGTTTTTTTGACTGATGATGTTGTAACTTCACCATAGTGGTTGATATTTTGACAGATAGTAAGCAGAGTTGTGTACAAATTTTCAGCAGCAGGAAGTCTATGCCCCAGTCAGCGATCTGTTGGGAGATAAAACGGGGACATAAAACAGATGGCAACATTTTAATATGCTTTTTACTGTAATTTTATTGAAATGATGCAGGCTAAACAGTCCTCTTTTATTGCTAGATAATTTGAACATATTTCACTACTTCATGAAAAAATGAAAAAGTTAATTGTGCTAGTGAAATTGTGTAAGATAGGGTGATAATTCATAGAATAGTTGTAGGGGGAACTTTTAAAACCAACAGAAAATGCTTTTGTAAAATATTTTAAGATTTTATTTAAAGTTTTTATTTAGACTCATAAAAAGTAATATGGACAGTTGACAGCCCTATGATTAGGAAAATATACAAATAATAGATGAGATATGTTTCTTCCATTGTACAGTCTCATAGGTCTCTGTCAATCTCTGCACATTAAAGCATAACATTAAAGCACACTACTTTATGCTAAATTTTCTTTGGTGTGACATTTTGAAATATCTTTGTTGCAATAGATAATTAATTAACTGATGAAAGCAACAGCCATTTAGAATTCTCTTCTAACTTGCATAGACAAAAGAGCCAATGAAAATGTTATCCCAATGCCATGCTTCAGCCCACCAGATTAGGCTCACCAGAGTATGAAAAACCTGTTCTAATTTTTTGAATCAGAGTTTTTAAAGAATCCCCTTCAGGACTCTACCTTGCCTATTCAACGGATTTAAGCTTGATGGAAGTGCCTTAAATGAGTTGTACGGAAAAATACTATAAATTATTTATGCGTATTAACTATAACTGAATCTGCTAAGTTGCATAATTGTGTTTACAGCAATTTGATAATGTATTGTTAAAAGATAGAAAGTCATGAATGAGGTAAAACTCTTTTAATTGTAAAGATACTTGATTAGGCTGGGTGTAAAATTGAAATGAGGGGAAATGTGAGATAAAATGGCCATTAACTTAGTCTATCTAATCTGTTTTGATTGATTGCTATAGCATGTCATAACATTAACAGTTAGAATGTGCAAGATTTTATACAATGTTGTTAAAAAAACCCTCATAAATTCAACATGCTTTATAGAACTCGACATGCAGAAAATTATTGTTGACGTGATATTAATTCAAATTAGAGTGGCAATATTCTATGGTCTAATTTCTTTTACAGCACCTTTACTTGCAGAATATGTTAGCTGTTATGGCTAGTACTCTGGCATTTAAAAATCAGAAGTTTCAGTTCTAACAAATATACTATTTGAATAATAATGGTTTCCTTCCCTATTCCTTTTTGTTTCCTTATTAGCCAATAAGTGACAGTTTAAAGCAATACAGTACAGTTCACCTGAAACTATTCCCCCATTTATCAGTCTTCATAATAGCTGTCACAATAGACTGTTGCCACCAAGGGAGATAATTATCACCTAGGTATATTACTTTTTTGTTGTCCAGCATGGCTGTTTAGCCATCAGATTGATTTGAGCTGATTTATGGCCATCAGATGTTCCTAAAGCTATTGTGTGTGATTTCTTTATAGTTCATTTAGATGTCCTTTCCACGATTCTTTATGTTAGTAAGGTGATCATTAGAGGTAAAATATCGTTGATGTAGGTAAACAACTCTGTTACAATGTATTAAATAAGAAAGTCCCAAGTTAGTTTAATGTCCTAAATAATCTGGGCGGATCCAGAATTTTTGAAAGGGGGGTGTAATTCCATATAAAGTTATATATTCCGAAAAAAATTTGGATGATTTTATGCTTAAAATCATATCAATCTTGAAAAACAGGATATAATAATTTGTTTAGGCAATCAAAGGGAGGTGTATGCCCTCTTTGCCTTTGTATTCATTTGTTTCAGCATCTATAAAAAAGACAGAAACACCATTTTTTCTAAAAATAAGTTCAATTTGATATGAAAAAAAAGAAAGATATTGAAGTTTTTTTTTAGAAAAAAAATGCACTATCATGTTAGTGTACAAAGTTTAGCTCATCTTACTTAAAGTACCAATCTCATTTTCCCTTTCATGGTGAAATTGATATGTTTTGTATGTGTCAGTAAGTAAAAAATTCCTTCAAAATCAGGAAACGTTATGAAAAGGTAAGAACACCCCTTAACAAATGGCAAAGTAGTAATAACTTAAACCCATCTTGGGATGAAAAGCCGTCAATAAATAATGGCAGGCTTGCATGACAAGCCAACTTGTTAGATAGCCATTTTTAGATAAAATTGTACATAATATACATGTCAGCGATACTATAACCTGCTATTATAATAGAACTGTTACAAGATTTCACAGAAGATTAACTCCTTCGGAAGACATTTGACCTCCAATTGTTGGATACGTAAATTATACCTTTTGTGGTCCTTTTTAGATTGAAAAAAAATCTAGATATCATTTCCGACAAAAAAGACTTTTGAAGATCATAAATCTGAAACTGATTACAGAGATACAGATGTACTTTAACATGTATCATGTACATGAAATTTTCTGAAGGAGTTTGTAGCGATGATTTATATGTTTTAAGTCTGATGCAGCATTGAAATAGATATTATTCTACAAATTATATGGTTGTTTTTTTACTTGTCTTCATTTTGATTGTTATATAACCAATAAAGGATTGGCAATGCAGTTAAAAAGATAGGCAAAGTTACCCAGTTTAATTGTCAGCTGAAATTAGTCTGCATATGGTATTTCATTGTTTTTGGTTGATATGTACAAATTTATTCATTTATATGCAACAAACTCTTCAATTTTTTCTATTTTATTTTATCACAAAAAATTCTATCAGGAATTTTCTTGTTGCAAGAAATGATACAATGTAACAGTGTGAATAAGTTGCTCCACAAATTACATTTATACAGAATGTATATAGGGATAAATGAGAAAATTGGATTAAATTTTCCATTGAAAAGCTTTTCATTTTTCAAATTAAAAAATGGTCATTTAGAAACATTTTTAAAGGTTATCTACCCTGATCTGTTATTAGGTGATCTAAGTAATCATTGGTGCCTGACAGTACCTTTGGATATTGTCTGCCAACACATTACAGAGATAAGTATAGATAATGGTCTATTGCATTTAGAAGGTGACAAAGGTCACTTGAATTGAAAGGATTAAAGGGGACAGCCACAGGAACATGTTATTAAGAACAATGAACTGAATGATTGATGGTTGACTCATTTGGGATAAGCAGAATAAGGGAATAAGTAGTCTTTTGCAAGGATAAAAAGTCAAAGTCAAAGATTTTATTGATATAAAATCCAAAATATGGATTGTCATCAACACACAAAGAACAATCATTAAACATTACTATCAATTAGGATATGTTAGACTGTATATCGGTCAATTCAGATGCTTATATTAACCTTACATGCAAATTAATTTAATATACTGAAATATATATTAGTTATAGCACTGAAATGCAAGACACCTTTACATAAAACACTTGTTCCCTAATTACTTGTAAAATATCTTGTTATCTTGGATTGTGCTAATTCTTGCTTCAGCTTGTAGGCTTAACAACAAGTGTTGTATGGTCAATTAGAAAGTAAAAAATGTAGGGAGCTGTCAATCAGCTGACAGTTTACAAGTTGTAATAAGGAAGTCAATAATGAAGAATGGCAAACAGTTGTCTTAAGCATTGGTTAAAGTGATAGATGACTGGACAAGCCAAACAACTTACCACCTAAAAGTACAGATTTATGTAAAATTGCTCTATAATATTGATCTTAAATAAAAATCTTAATTGTGAAATATTTTGGATTCATTATTATATATGTGAGGTACTAATTTTTATGGATTTTGTGGGTACAGGTGAATTGTGTTTAACAATACCGAAATTTCCTATAGGATAGTGTGTAGAATTTGTCAGAATCACAAAATCCATTATCCAAGAATGCAATTTTTTTATCAGTCCTTGGAAATTGATATACTTAAAAAAATGATTACCGGTTATCAAAAGTACAAAAAACATGAAGCAAACAAAAACTTTATCCTAAAAAAATCAGCTAAGCAATTTCAAGTGAACATGAATACTTTTTCTCTTCTTTAGTTTAAATGCATTGCTGCAAGATTTAAAAAAAAAATCACTGATTTTGATTGATGGTAGTTTATATACCCTAGCTGTTAAAGATTACAGCAGTTTATACATTCAAGGTAATTGTTGATTGAAAATCTGCACATGCTTGGATCTATGTCAGATATCTGTTGAAAATTCAACTGTTCTTCTGTTTTTGTTTAAGAATTTAGATTTTTGTAGATGTAGTATATTTTCTTTTCAAAATTATCACTACTGTTGAGACCAAGTGAAAATGGGTTTTTGACAGAATGGTGTTTTATACAGCAGGTGTATTGAACATTTGATTCCTTTTTTTTATCCAAGACAAATAGATATTGTTATTGTCTGGAAAGTATAAGAAGTCATATAACTGTACTTTAAACTATTTTCCATTCAGATTTATCTGTAGAACAAATAATCGGTGGTAGAATTACATACAGCATTAAAAGCACCTGCAAGTTTATACGTGATAATATGTGGAAATAAAATTATATTTTCTCGTTACAGGGATTGATCAAAAAGCAACTGTAGAATTAAAGAGACCAAAGAAAGAGAATATAACATTAGGATCCGAAATACTTTTAAAATGTCAGATTACTGGAAATCCTGAGCCTACCTTTCTGTGGTACCATAACAAATTCAGGTAAACAGGGAATTAAAAAATTGTTGCAAGCATTTATCATTACAATTTTGACATGACCAACCAAAATTAGAGATTAATTATTGAGATTTCAGGAAATTCTGCATACAGATATCAGAATGTGAGTTCTTATTATTGCAATACTCACCCTGTCCATTATTTGCAATAATGAAAACCTTGCAATAATTTCTGAATTTACAGTAGTTCAAATAGATTAAATGTACTTTTGTACATAAAAATTGTCAAAACCCATGAAAAATCTTAACCTAGAAAAAAAGCCTAATGAATTCAGGAAAATGAATGTCAACTTACCTGAATTTTGAAGTGTTTTCTGTCGGATTACAGAAGAACGAACTTGATGCATGTGCCCTCTAGATATCAGGAAGCTGCAAGATATAATCAGATTAAATTGCAATTAATTTTATGACATGATTGCATTTTCATTTATTGATCTATTGGAAAGGGCACATGTATTTTACAATTATCATTTGGAAAAATCAAGAATCATGTAACCATGATGAAAAAACAATAAATTTTGTATTTAAATTATTTTGGTCATTAGTAAAGTATTAAGTCGCGCTAAAGAAAAACTTTTAAATGAACTGGATTTATACTATTATTCACGTGTATATAGAGTTTGGTTTTACCTGCATCTACATCACAACACAAGGACACACATTTCCTTTATTGGGAAAGGCAGGTTCCATTAGAGAACACAGGAAAAACTACCACAGTACTTAGTGGTGTAAGATTATCATCAATGTTACATCCTCAAATTGCCATTGTCCATGATTCAAACTATTAAAATCTTATCCATGGAAGCCAAATTAGTTTAAACTTCATTAGATAAACTTATCTGTTAGTAAATTTCTTGCAGGTACAATAAAATGTTTTGCAGGCCTGTGACCCTATAATAATAGTCACAAAATTTCATGGTTTTTTGTTGCATTTTATCCTTGAATATTTTAAGGTTTTTTTTTGTTTAAATTTTAGATGTGGTGCATTATCTATTAAATTGTGGTGTTTTATTAGTAATTTATCATAGCTTGGTTGCATAACTTTTTCTTAAGCATCTGTTCTGTTTTCAATAGTTTGATAAAATAACTTTAATACCTTGAATTCTTTTGAAATTAAAATATGAGGTGCAAAAAATGAAGTGATATCAGAGTGAGTTAAATTGCACATAGTTATAGTTTTAATTTATGATGGTGTTACTGTCTGCTGGCTTTTATCCCCTGTAGATCATGGATGGCTCAACAAGGTGTCAGTATAACTAATAAAATCGTCATAAAATCTACTGAGGCTTTCCAAATTCAAAACATTTTATGCATTTGGGCTAATTTTTTGATATCCTATTTACTCTGGTTTTAACTACAGGTAAAAGCTAAGGTATTTTGTCTGGTGTCAGGTTACTGCCATGTTGATCGATGCCATAAAAAGACAGATATATAGGCATTTAATGTGTTTTCTGCAATAAAAATTTGTCTTTGTGAGCAGAAAAAGATGAATTTATATCAAATTTGCATGAAATTGTGTGATAGTTTTATAGATCCCTATTTAAAATCAATGATTGGATCATTTATGTTTTAAAGATTTTAGCAGTGTTTACTGAGAAAACTTATAGAAATGATGGACTGTAAAGATTAAGAGAAAAATTAAAAATCATAAACATGCTAAGCTTCTGATACATAAAAGAGAATTAATTTTAATTTGTAACTGATCCCAAACTCATTTTATTTAGATGGAGGAATAATATTGAAGAGTTTCCATTTTTCTATCAATTTCTTGGGATAAATTTATATAATTAGAAAAAAATATTTCCAATGAAGTTTCAGGAGTCCAAAGGACAAACAAATGTCACTTTAACACGGATTATTCACAAATAAAGTGTGTGCATGACTTTACTCTATTAAGTAAAATACTTTGGAATCTCTTTATACTCATTTTCAACTTTTCCATGTCATAATTTCCGACACCTACCCCTTTTTAGAGAAATTAAAGGAATGATGTAATCAGATTCCTAAATGTTCAAAGCAATATTCAAACAGAATTTAGCAAAATGGTTATTGACTATGTTGACTTAATGTTTCCCACCAGCTGTATATTATCAGATTTTATAAAGGTCAGTTGTAGAGTGTATGACCACACATACTTAAGGCCATGATATATATACATTATATCTATCAAGAAGATACAGATATACATGTTTAAGTAGATTATTTATGTTACAGTTATCAAGGAAGAGAAGTGGATATTCTGTGGCTATAGTCAGACTATGATGTATTGATGATAAATCTCCTTCCCTATTAACTTACTTGCTCAAGAAAGATAGGTTCTGGATGTGAGGTTTGTCCCTGATTATTCTGGGGTCAAGACTCATGTCCTGCCTTCTTTGGTCCAATATCTTTGATTTTTTCAAATGATAGCAAAACTATTTGCAACAATAAATTAGGAAAGTTCCTTTTCCTTCATATATAATTCGTAGAAACTCATCCCTCTTTTTAAAATGAGATGGAAACCCTATCAATAAAAGGACATCAATGAGACAGAAACAAAACTGAACACTTAAACTTAACACAAACAACCAAAAGACAACTATTGTTATTTTGACAGGTTATTTTGCTCTGAACAGAGATTACTAAAAATGAAGATGTTTGAAACAGGGAAATGTTATGTAGATGAAACTATCAGACACTCTAAATTAGAATACCAGTAACTGGTACAAGAAGATTATATTTAATGCCTCTGCTCATGTTCCAATTGCCTATTAGGGCAAATTGACATCATTTCATTTACTGCGGTGGAAGAGGCAACACATAGTTAACCCTAAATATTGTCGAATGCTTGTAAAACTGTAAACTGTGATAATGTACAGCAGTGTCTTGGAGAGCAGCTCAAACAAAATTAAGAAATAATTCTTTCATGCCATGTTCTATGCTCATTTTAACATGGGTAGGCATTATATGTGTCAATATCTTTATAATGAGCAAATAAATAGCAAGGTGTAAAATGTTGACAAATATAATGCCTACCCATGATAAAATTAGCATAGAGCATGGCATGATAGAATTATTTCGATTCTAATAAGAAAATTAAGAACTTTTGTACTTGGAAGCGGAACTATCCATTTTGATTTAATGAAGCCAAAACATTCTAGAAAAATCAACTGTTTCATTTTTGTTCAAAACACAGCTGTCGTTGCAATTTCAATGCTTATTACCACATAATACAGATCAAGTATGAAATTGGGTGGCATCACTTGTACCGTTTATGAGTTATGTCACTTTATGAACATAAAATTGCCGAATTTTTCGTTTCCGTTCTCTAACTTTAGTTTGCCTCAACCAAATGTTATGAAACTTATACACAATGCTAATTACCACAAAATACAGATCAAGTTTGAATTTTGGTGGTGTCACTTTTACCGTTCTAGAGTTATGCCTGTTTACAAATGGAAAAATTGCTGAATTTTTCGTTTCTGTTCTCTAACTTAAGTTAGCCTCAACCAAATGTTATGAGACTTATACACAATACTTATTACCACAAAACTCAGATCAAGTACTAATTTGGGTAGCGTCACTTTTACTGTTCTTCAGTTATGTCCCTTTATAACTTTATATGATATGCAAGCGGGGGCATCATCTGTGTCCCATGGACACATTCCCCATTTATTAGTCCCGTACTGACGAAGTCGAGGGGACTTTAGGTTTGCACTCGGTCCGTCTGTCTGTCTGTTTGTCCATCTGTCAGTCCGGCAAATCAGTTTTCCAGACTTTTTTTTTTCGTGCTTTAAGATATTGATTTGATATTTGGTATATCAATTTATCATGACAAGTTACAGATCAAATTCGAATTCTGTACTGGTCTGATGATTTTGTGCAGAGTTATGGTCCTTGGACTTAGAAAATTCACTCAAGTAATCAGTTTTCCACACTTTTTTTCGTCATGCTTGAAGATATTGACTTGATATTTGTTATATAGTTTACACCATGACAAGTTATAGATCAAGTTAGCATTTTGTTCCTGTACAATGAATTTTTAACCGATATGGGGACTATGTATTGCCATGCAATACTCTCAGAATACTTGTTTCTTTATCAATGAGTTGTGGAAACAAAAACTTTTTAGCAAGTACAGAGACGTCCCAGACGTGAGAATTTAAGAAGGAAAAGTATGAATTCTAAGGCACTTGCTTTGGTCAGTTACAAATGAAAATATATCACACATTCAATCTTTGGTCAATCTCGAGATTGTTTTTAATTAAAATAGCATTCTCTAGCATTGGTCATTTCAAGTTGTTTTTAACAAGTAACCGCATTATGACCTTGGTCAATTTAATTAAAAACATAACCCAGACATGTACCTGATGGTTTTTCAGACCACCTTACCACTCAGGTCATCTCTGATGAAATTATTTATCATGTGCCATGGCAAAGCTTGACAGAATATATATATAACCTGTGAAAATTATATACTTAATGTAAACTTCATCACAAAATGTATGACTTCTGACATCTCAAAGCTGCCATTATCTATTCTTGTAATTAAATTATACCACAAAACATTAAGCTTTACTGGTCACTGGTGAAAACTTAATATTGATTGATCATCTTGTTGGATTTTGTTACAATCACCCTTGTTTTTTATGTCCAATATATTTTATCATGGGATTTGAATGCATTTTTTGTCATATTTTGTCTGAAGGGGAAGGATAAGCTTTTGTCACATCTTTGTTGGTTTCCATTATCTTTTTAGCACTGAAAAGTTTTCAGCACTATTTCTAACCACCCTGGCCGTTGTTCTGCTACTGTTTTGGTATCTTATTGTGTGAGTTTCATTTCAGATAGCAAATAGTTTAAACATTTTTAACATGACAAGTTGCTTTTCTCCAGCAATATTATTGAAAGAATGCTGTTACACCAGCTGGATACATATACTTGGAATCATTGACAAAATATTTCTAACTGGTTTCAAGGTGCATTTTAGGTGCTCCTTACTTGGAA